AAGTAACTGATTTCCCATTTTTCTCATCTTTTTTTTTAAAGATAAGTTTTTTTAAAATGGGTTCAGAAAATCTTACTGAGCACCTGGAAGAATTTTTAACAAATATTGGCACAAGTGTACAAAAGTAAGTTTTCTTTGTTCTTATTTCTATCTGTAAAACAAGTGACATGAATTGATTTTCCTTTTGTGTCTCTTCAGATAGATCACCTCAGATAATAATACAACATGTATTTTATGTTAAGTGTTCGCAGGGAAATGGAATCTGAAGTAGAAACCATGCAACAGACCATAGAAGACTTAGAAGTAGCTAGTGATCCATTATACTTGCCTGATCCTGATGCTACAAAATTTCCTGTCCATAGAAATCTGACCCGGAAAGCTGGATATCTTAATGCAAGGAAGTAAGAGCTACCTTCTATTTAAAACTTTCAAACCACTTTACTCAAAGTCAAGCTAGAGAAAGAACCAACCTCTCTAAAACCAGCTATATTGGGTTGTAGGTAAACGTTTATATAGCCAAACTGAACTGATTTGCTTCCTTTCCATTTGTTCCACATGACAGATTGTAATTATGGATTATTTTATACTGATTTCTAGTTACTAATTTTATTTACTGGCTCAAGTAGTAGTAGTTTGCAGTTAGGTACAATTATTCATTTAGTGATGGATCTTTTTAAAAAAGAGTGAGTATATCCTCTGAATGTCATGTTAAGATGGAGACACTGATATGCCTAGAGATAAAGTGATTTGTGTGTGCAAGGTTATAGTGACCCAGTTGCAGCCAGGAATAGAACTGAGACCTGATTGCAGTGTAATGATCAGAGAACTGCTGATATACTTCGTAATTTAGACTTACTTGCCTAGATTTTGCAGCTATGAAGGCATTTGGGAGATATGGATGGATATGTTTGTTCAGCATACATTTCAGATAAGAGGATTACATTATTCTAAGTAACACTCCTGAAATATTAAGTAAATTTCCTTCATTAACATAATTAGATTTTTGTGAACATCAATGACTACTTGAAGATATGTGGTTTTGCCTACTGGAGGGAGCTATTATTATGCCATATGAAAGTAAAGACAACCTGTTGCATATTATAACTGGTTAAAAACAAATAAAAGCTATAAAGTTTGGAATACATTTTCTGACTTATACCATGCTGTACATACAACCAGAATTTCTAAAGACTCAAACTAAAGTTTTTATTACTAGTGTAGGAAAGAGTTTCCCTGAATTCTTGAAATAGGGCACAATTTCTATAGTTAGTTGGTCTGTATAGAAAAAGTTAAAGTTCCAGCATACGTAAGCTTGATGCAGTACCCCAGATTACCTACCCATTACGATATCCTTTTTGTAAACATCTTCAGAAGCAATTATGTTGTGTTAAGTATTTGTGACATCCTCCTCCTGTGAATCAAAGATATTTGCATGAAAAATGGCTGTGGTGAAATTAACATTTCATAAATTAGGTTTTCTTAGTTAAGAAATTCAAACTGCAGAAGTGCCCTTATGGCAAAGTGGGGCTCCCTGACTAGCCACAGTGTTGGTTTCCCCACTTGCTTTTGGGTACACTACTCACCTGACTCTCCTGCCATACCTTGTTGTTAGTTAATTAAGTTGTTAATTAAGGCGGGAGGCTGCCCATTCTTGCCCTGATGCCAGCAGGGTGCTATCTGCAGTTCCACTCCTCCCCTACACCGCAGCCCAAGCCTCGCAGATGGCATCCAGATAACAATGCTCCCAGCCTACAGCTGGACCAAGCTTAGGCCTTGTTGTCAAGCCTCAGATACACTCACATTCATACCACCTTCCTCTCACTGGGACCTCTCATACTCCATCCACTTTCACGTGTCAACGATTTATACTGCCTTGCTCCCTCTTGGAGTGGGCCCCTAAGGCCATAGGCTTTAACTAGCTCATACCTTGGGTGGCAGATGTACCGTCTTTGGGTCTCTCCTGCGACCCTCACCAGGGTAGTGGCCAGCCAATTACCTGACCGGGTCTAAGCTTGCTCTGGTCCCTCCCAGGGCAACTCTGTACACTCAAACATCCCTCTATACACTTCCAGCCCTCTGGTTCTTCCCCCCCACTGGGGTCCCTCCTCTCTGCCCCCTTTCTAGGGCCACCCCCCACCAAGACATTCTTAACCCACGCCATGACTGGTGCTCCAGGGCCTCACAGGGACTCTCACTCCCACCCTGGAGCAGCAAGTGATTGTGTTCAACTATAGGTCTTACTTTTGACTCACACTTGTCCTCCCAGTGGTGGAGGACTTACCAGGGTCAGGACTTGCCCCTCTCTCTCAGACTGAGCCCCCTTACTCGGCCTCTGGCCCAAGCCACAGCCTCAGGCATCCAAAGACATACATTGGCCTACTCCCCTCACATGGGACCACCCCCTCACTGGGGCTCCTCATCTCTGCCCCCCTCACCGGGGCTCCACGCTACCCCTCACTGGGGCTCCACATTGCCCCCTCACTGGGGCCGCAGGGCTTCCCTCCCCGGTGGGCTCAGGTGGCCGTAGCAGTGTCTGGCCCCAGCTACCTTTTTTCGGGGTCCTACACCCCACAGGGCTCAGGTGGCCGCAGCTGTGCCTGGCCCCAGCTACCTCCGATGTTAAGCAACTCACCCGAAGGTGAGGGCTGGGGTTCAGGTCCCCCTACCTGCCTTTCACCGGGGTGGTAACTGACTTGGCATTTCTTGGGGGCTCCTGCACCACTGAGAGCCCCACCAGGCCACCCACTCCCAGCAGGGTGCAGTTTTAGGTCATGCCCAGGACCAGGAGCCTCCAAACCATTTCCTACAACTCCTGCCCTTACCTCCAGGATGTTGCATGCAGCCAGGTGATGCTACTGCCTGGCTTGCCAGCCACAAACTGCCCTGTTTATATAGGTGGCCAGAGATCTAAAATGGCCGCCACAGTCAAGCACCTGCTGGCTGCTTGGCTCAGCTCTTGAAGTGGCAGGCACCAACAGTGCCCTGCCACACCCTCAAGAAACTTTTTGTTTTAGTACTAAGAGGCTAAGTGAAAGGAAACTCTTAAGTTTTTTTTGACAGTGTATAAACCAATGCCCCAAACAACGCTAATCAAAATAATGGGTTTTAAACTTCTTCTAATTAAGTTTCTTACATAGTAGTTAGCTAATACTGTTTTTATGTGATATCTTGCACAACTCTTAAATATTTAAAACCTGTTTAGTATTAAAAAAAATAACAGTAAGAAAACCAACCAAAGAATATAAATTTATATGAGACTAAGTGAAAAGCCACAGTCATAGGAGACCCAGTAAAAAGGCTTTTCTTCTGTTTAGAGAATTTGGATGCCCTGCCTGTCTTTCTTATCTGTTTGTTTAATTTAGAGGTCTGATAGAAATATAATCTATGAATTGAACATCTGATTTTTTGTTCTAGTAAGACCGGCCTGGTGTCTTCTAGTTGGGAGAGACAGTTTTACTTCACTCAAGGTGGAAACCTTATGAGTCAGGCAAGAGGTGATGTAGCTGGAGGGCTTGTTATGGACATAGACAACTGTTCAGTAATGGCTGTGGACTGTGAAGACAGAAGATACTGCTTTCAGATAACATCTTTTGATGGAAAAAAGTTAGTAGATTTAAAATTTTTCCATGTAGTATTTGGAGATGTTAGTTTTAAAAAAATAAATCAGGTGTCTTTTGTTAATGTTCATAATTTGGGGTTTTATCATCTTTTACCCGTTTATACTAAGTAACATAGTCGTATGAAGCTCCAAACGACAAAAATAAGTCTTACATAGGAACTATAACATGCGCTTAAATTTTTAACAATCCTTTTTCATATGCTGTAATGCTTTCTTACCTGTATCAACGAAATCATCTACAATTCAGTTCTCTCTTATTTCCTTCCTATTCTCCTCAGTAATTTTAGAAGTGGGGCTGCTACAACATAAGTATTACTTTCTCTGAAGAGTTCCAATTCAGAATGGAACACCGTAGTTATTTTTTTTTTCTCTGTAGAAAGGATTGTTCAATATTCAGTTATTTTTTATACAATGATCTCAACATCACGGGAGGAAAAATAATTGGGATCTATCAACTTTCATATTTTGCTTCTGTTTGGACAGTTTTATTTGGAC